ACGCATTAAATACCTAGCTAGTTGGAACATCTAGAACGCATTAAATACCTAGCTAGTTGGAACATCTAGAACGCATTAAATACCTAGCTAGTTGGCTCTTTTACAAGAACTACACAATGAAAATCAAGGAAGTAAAGCTAGACAAATAGAAAAATGTTGGCCATAGGGTTTTCTGGAACCAGCAGTGACCCAGAATCATAGGGCAGATCATCTGAAGAAAGGAGGTTAAATTGCTGATGTCACATCATGAAATTCTGAAGAAAGGAGGTTAAATTGCTGATGTCACATCATGAAATTCCTATTTTCTGAATCAACTCTAATCTCTGCCATAAGAACAGAGATTTCCAACTTTATCCAGCAGAAGAACAGGGGCTTCCAAGAATCTCACGGGGCAATGCAAAGGTAGACAGGACAGGTCCACACTTTCTAGGGGTAAGTGATGCTCACCGAGGGAGACCAGGTTGCCATAATTCTCCAACATCACATCCCAGTACAAAGCCCTCTGAGCAGGGTCCAGACAGTCCCACTCCTCCTGAGAGAATTCCACAGCCACGTCCCTGAACGTCAACAGTCCCTAAACAAAACAAGACAAGCACACATCTCATAACTGGAAAAGGGACAGTTCTGATCGTTACACAAAATGATCCAAGTAGCAAGGTATACAAGCAACTCAGCTGATGTGAGAGGCTTGACAGAGCTACAAAACACTGAACAAGTTATATGACCCAAACTTTGTTTTATTATAGATTTTCCATCACAGGTTCATCCACTGCATCACTGAAGCTTTCCATTTTGGTGGACAATGAAAGAAACAAGCACATGACAAGAACTCCCACAGGGTTGTCTTGGTAGAAGTGCTAGATGTTATGTTGTTCGGCATCTTGTCAAAATCTTTCACATCACAAATGCATCATCCTAGATGCAGCCATCATTCTTCAAGTTGTCCACCCTGGAGGGTCCCTCAGACAGCTGGAGAGAATAGCCACAGCACCATTCTTTACAACAGCAAAAAAAAACTGTAAATGACCCGTTAAGAGACTCCTCTAATGAGAATCGAAAAGAGAAGGTTATCTGTGCTTATTAACATGAAACAATTCCAAGACATATGGTGTACAAAGTTCCAAAAGGTAAAGAACACCACAAAATGCTGACTAAAGAATCTATTCTAAAATTATGTCTTTTACCAAGACCCACACTGAGTCTTGCCACCAAACTGGTACGAGGTCCATGATGAGAGATGAAGGAGGCAGGAGACCGTGACAAGGTCGAGTTGTTACGTAAATGCCACCATCAAAGAAGCGTGACCCATCAGGTAGGTTTAAGGGTGGAATTCGAATTTGTCTCCATCCCCACTGATAATAAAGTTCTCTTCCTACTTCTCAGGTGAATGAAAACCCATTTCTCCCTGAATAAACTCTAGTGTTTTAAGATAGATGTACGGTTTCCATTACATTTACCCCCGCAAATTTGGTATTTACCTTAGATTCTTCAGAAGTAATCTCTGAAATCTTGAATTTTCACCTATCTTCAGTGTCTTTGAGGGTTCCAAACTATATATAACCTAACAGGTTATGCCAGTGAGGTGAGTCTTCGGTTGGGGCTAGCCAGGACAGAAAGCCTTACTCCCGTATTAATCTTGTGATAAGGATCCACTTTAGCAGAAAGGATTGGAGTTTGAGTTAAGAGGCCCTCAAGTGAAACTCTCTGGTCTTCCTGGTTGGTGAAACACAACAATGCATGTACAAGGAGGATGTCCTTTGGGTTTGAAAACACCTCACAGTAAACGCTCCTAGACCTCGCCCTAGGAGTCTCTGCTTTGATCGACTTTTCCTATAAGTCTGTAAACATAAGGATAGTGTTCTTCATGAGCTATGTGAGTCATTATAACAAATGACCCAACTCAAGGGAGTTGTAGGAATCAGAAGCCAAGAAGTAAAGGGGCTGGGCCCTCTGCAGTTATAGCTGACACCCTCAGGCCTTAGAGGAAAACTCTAATGGGCCACCAGCAGGTCCTCAAGACTTTAGCTGGCATCTGAAGTTTGGGGCAGACTTGGCAGTTTCCAAGTCATGTTCTTGTAAGCTCTGGCTTTGTTCCAGGGTGGTTAGGGTCACAGGACTAAGTCCCTATGTGCAACTGGTGTCAGAAAGGAGGTGAAAAGGAAAGGAACAGAAGTGATCATAGGATATTTTCATGGATCAACATGCTCAGTATCAGAGAAGTGATTACAGGGATTTGATTTTCTAGCTGTGTTGTGAAGGGTTAAGAAAACTCCTACTGTTAGATGATGATTTGGATGATTCTCTGTTTTAAACCAGATTATGGAATAAAGCA